AAAGAAAGAAAGAAAGAAAGAAAGAAAGAAAGAAAGAAAGAAAGAAAGAAAGAAAGGAAGGAAGAAAGAAAGAAGGAATTCTGAGCAGAAAGCTAAAAGAGGCAGTAAGGTTTGAATTTGGCTTCATTGTGTGAGGCAGGTGTCACTAGACAAGGGACTGAGGGAGAAGGTGAGGCTATATGTATAGACATACTATACTATACTATACTATACTATACTATACTATACTATACTATACTATACAAGTACCTTTCATATACTTGGCCTCCATCACTTGTGGAAGAGGCTGTTGGAGGGCTGATTTAGCACTCATTCCCACCCATCCTTCTGCACTGGAGGTTAGGAAAGCTAAATACATAATTAGGGACAGCCCTCTAACATAGCCTGTCCAACTGGCCTTGTTTGGAAATATGTTGAAGCTTGTGCTCTGCTTTCCAAATGAGAAACAGATATACTTGGTATTGACTCCTTGCTCTCGACTTCAGAATAGCCATTTTAGTTGTGCCCAGGGACAACCACTCTGAAACATTGGATGGAATGTAGCGTTGAATGTGTTGAATGTGGAGATGTGGTTGAGTTCCCAGCCACTACCTGCCTCAAGCCTACTCACATGAGAAAAACCAAACTTTCCCTCATGTCCTTGTGAAGAGTTTTCTGTTGCAGCTAGCTGCACCCCCAGATGATACAGGCATAAACTACATACACATGTAGCATGTGCTGACTTCATGTCTTAGTGTTAAGCCTTGGTAATTCTCGAGATACTTGTCCTGACTATTGCATAATAATCAGACTTGTCTTGATTATTGTATTTGTTATGGTAATCTGTGTTCAGTAACCTTTGCTATTGTAGTTGTTTTGAAACACCATAAGCTTAATGAATGTGTGTATCCTTGTGACTCCAGCAGCCAGCCGTTCCGCCATCTCCCTCCTGCTCCATGGGACTTGCTCTCTGAGCTACCATAGTAAAAGTAGAATCACTCTACTGTCACTTCCAAGTATTTAAGCAAAAGGAAGAGCCGAGTGTCCCTCATTTTACATCCAAAGCTGGAGATTATTAAGTTATATGAGGAAGGCATGTTGAAAGCCAAGAAAGGCTAAAAGCTTCTCTTTTTTCACCAAATAGCCAAGCTGTGACTATCATTCTTAAAGGAAGTTCAAGTCCTGTTCCAATGAACACATGAATGATACAAAAGCAAAACACTATCCCGACGCTGATGTGCAGAACGTCTTAGTGGTTTGTTAGGAGATCAAACCTGCTAAAACATTCCTATAAGCCAAAACCTAATTCAAAGCAAGCTCTTGGCATTGGTGGTTCGGTGGTAGAATGTATAACCCCCAACCCCACCCCCATGCAAGCTTTTAACCTCTTCAGTTCTGTGAAAGCAATAGAAATAAAGGAGCTGCAGAGAAGAGTTCAAAGCCAACAGCAAGTTGGCAAGTGCCTTAATTGAAGAGTCTGTCTCCATACATGGGGATTTGAGGTCAGCCAGCAAGCTCTGATGCAGAAGATGCAGAAGATATCCAGAAAGTCTAGCTGAAAAAGTTGATGAAGACATCTACATTAGCAAACAGATTTTTAGTGATGATCAAACAAGCTTCTAATTAGAAAAAGAAGCCACCTAAAATATTGTCACAGGAGACAGAAAAAGCTGGCCTGGCTGCCAGCTCTAAGTTCCTGCACTAAAGGCAGCAATCACAGTGCAAAGACACCATCGGGTCTGGTCCTGGCACCATGGTGACAGAAATGAGCATTACCAATGGGCTACCTTGGCCCAGCCGGGTGTTCTCATTTCGGCAAGCTCTCCTGGGAGGGCCACGCTAGCCCCATTCCTCGGTCATCCACCCCACAGTCAGCTGCCATACCAACCAACAACCAAGTAAATCAAAACTTTAGATGCTTAAAGTTAACCAATGGATTTATATAATAGCAAATACTCAATACACAAGATGCCCACACAATTAGAATTGCTATCCCAATTACCTAATGTTGAGATGAATAACTGCTAGAGACACAGGGGTAACATCTGCAGCCATCTTGCCTCTCCTCTTCTCTCCCTCCCTCTCTCTCTCTCCTCCCAACTCCTAGCTCTGCCTCCCTCTTCCCTATCCAATGACAGAGCTCCACTGCAAATACAATGGGCAGGAAAGTTCTGCCACAAAATATTCATAGCTAGAGAGGAAAAAAGAAATTAATGCCTGACTTCAAAGGGACACACAAAGGGGACACATTGGGACAAATACAGCTGGTGATTAAGGTAAATAGGTGCTCATTTGTCATTCTGAAAGTCTTGGGGCCTTTAAGAGTTATACTATAGTAAAACCATTCTTCCTGTAATTTGTATTTGTAACAGCAAAGCCTATGTGACATATCTGTGTATAATATGGCGGGCTGGACATTTGGTGTTTATTACTGACACATAACAGCTCGGGAAAAAAAATTATTTCAAAACCTTACTGTTCATTGACAATGTACCTGGTCACCCAATGATTTTAACAGACTTATAAACACAAGAAGATGAATGCTTCCATGCCTGCCAGCGCGGCATTCACTGGGCAGTCCACAAATCAGTGAGCAAACTCAACTTTTAAGTCTTATTACTTAAGAAAAACTTTCCGTCAAGGCTATCAGTACCGTGGATAGTGATTCTCCGATGGGTTTGGGGAAATTGAAAAGCTTTTGGAAATGATTCACCACCCTAGATATCATTCTGCTTCATAAAATGATGTAAAAATAACAATGCATTAAAGGACCATGGAGAAGGGTAAGTCCAGCCCTCACAGACCACTCTTAGGGATTCATGACTTCCAGAAAGGGATAACTGCATATGTGGCAGGCATAGCAAAAGATCTAGAGGCTGGTAAATGAATTTCTGTAGTCACACGTAAAAACTTTAGTAGTCAAGAAAAAAAAAAAGCTATGCTTTCTTGCAGTGGGATCTATTACTGAGGAGGACGCTATGAAAATTGTTGGAATGATAACAGGGGCTTTAGAATGTTCCAGAAACTTGGTTGGTAAGGCAGTGTCAAGGTTTGAGATGAGTAAGTCCAACTTTGGAAAAGTTCTGCTGTGAATAAAAGACTGTCAAACAGCATTGCAGACTGCAGAGAAAACAGTTCATGGAAAGTATAACCAAACAACAGCAGATTCCATTGTCTTATTTTAATTGGCAAGCCTCTGCTGAGATGTCAGGAGCCATCAGCATCAAGGGAAGATGCTCACTGATAAAAAAAAAAAAATCTTGATTCCTGAAGGCTCGGGCGACCGTTGACATTTTTGAGCAATAAGTTTTTTTTAATTAAAATCCTCGCATTGTTTCTTCATACATGATGGTATTATACACTGTGTGAGCTAATATGTAGTGTATGCATAACAACATATAGTCACTGAGAAAACAAAACGTTCATGTGACTTTCTTCACTAGGCTTTCTGCTTTATTGTGGTGTTCCAGAACTAAACTATTGATTATTGATTATACGGTTTACGAGAAAGGTGCCGCCTTATACACTGGAGTCCTGTGCTGGCCTCCTCTTCCAGTACACAAATCTAGAACTGTGTGGAAAATACTCACACTGTATTTTCTTAGGGACTCATGCTACCACTCGGGTTACTCTTACCTCCCCATCACTTTTAGTTCTGTGGAGTGTGTATTTCCCGACACTACAGCAAAGTGATATTCAACCCTTTTTAAACAGGTCAAAATTGCTTCACCACAATTTGTTTAAAATTTTGTTTGTCAAAAGTAGCTGCCTACTTTTTTTTAGCTGACTTTTTAATGCCCATGTGTGTGTGTGTGTGTGTGTGTGTGTGTGTGTGTGTGTGTGTGTGTGT